AGAACACTATGTTATATTTTTTAAAAATCAGACACACAAGTTTAAATACCACATGGTTTCTCATATATGAGAAACCCAAAATATGAATAAAGAGCAAAATAAAAGATAGCTAATAAAAGTAGAGATAGATGTCTATCAAAGCTGAAAGAGATCAAGAAATGGAGGGGAGAGGAAAGGGACATCAAAGTGAATTAAGTTATGAACACATACCAACTCCCCACAAAGAATTCAATTACTATGTAGTGTAAGCATATACTAATAGAAAATTAAATTTTACAATGTCACTACAGAGGTAAGTTTTTGCATGAAATTTGCCTTAAATGGATAGGATTTGGGTAAAGCACTATTCTCCATAATGTGATGAATATCATCCAATCAGTTGAAAGCCATAAGAAAAAAAAATGATAGTCCCCACCCAAGCCCCAGAAAGAGAGAGTTCTGCCTCCGAGCTGCCTTCAAACTTAAGCTGAAACATCAGGTCTTCCCTGGATCTCCAGCCCACCCATCTGTCCTGCAGATTTCAGGCTTGTTAGCCTACAATCACATGAGCAACCACTAAACAAAGAAAGAAGGAAGGAAGGGAGGGAGGGAGGGAGAAAGGGAGGGGAAAAAAGAAAGGGAAAGTCAACATAGAGTAGGTAGATGGGATTAAAGCTTTATGGTCCAGTTGAAGTGAGATAAAGACATGCACAATGTTGAGCTCAGTGCCTAGTACATAAAGGTCCATAGAATAATTATACATGTTGTAATTTTTAAACACAAAGCCTCCACATGTGAGGTATTCTTATGCCGCAGTGAACACTGATTTAGCTGAAGAGGGAAAAGCAGAGCAGAGCTTCCTTCTCACTGCTTTTTAGAAACCTCCCTACACCAACAGAAATCCCTCAGGTCACTTCTGTGGTCCTGTTTGTCCCTAAAGTAGGCTTGTGCCCTCGGGAAGTTACTTCCTACAAAGAAAAGATGAACTGAGAGAACTGAACAGGCCAACTACCACCCGCTGTCAATTCTGGGTGTGGCAGAAACCACAGCCATCACCTGCAGATGTGGGCAGTGGCCTTCAGGATGTGGACGTGGCCATGGGAATGGAGGCAAGAAGCCAACAAATAAATGTCTGACACATTTGATGACAAAGCAATAGCCTAAAAGTTCTGCTTCTCAGTCAGGGGACAAGACTAACGTGCCAGGTGAGCCAGCTTTGATGATGAAGTCCTCCCACACAGCCGTCTGTTTCCTCACTGACCCAGTGTATGAGACAGAAAGTGGGAGGAAGACAAGAGAAAGAAAGGAAAACGCGGGATCCATACACCTAAACATGGCGGACAGTGCGTCCAAGAGACATTCATAGTATCAAGCTACAAAACTGCTCAGGATTCTCCTGCAAGGATTAGTGTGTGAAGAAGAACCCTGCAGACCTTTTACAATACACTACGGCATATTCTATTTGGGATGATGCTGGGTTTTAGCTGCCGCTCAAGTGTATTTACAGGACCACATCAGAATCAAGGACATGGGCCCTCTTAGGTGTTTCAGCAGCTCAGCTCTGGAAGGCGCTTCCCCTCTCCCCTTGAGTGGGAGTCACAGAAGCTCGAATTCACTGAGCTGCGGCAGGCAAAGGTGTCTTAAGTTCAGACACCATGCCAATTTACATGGTAATTTACAGTGCAACCCTTTGTCATCCCCCCGCGCCCCCATCATCCCAAAGAAGCCCTCCCAAAAGTTGAAGGAAAGCAGCTCAGATGTTTACAGCCTGCTTGACACACTGTGATTTCAGCCCCCTCTCTCGCCAGACAGAAGGGGAGGGGTGTGGGTTTTATTGTGGCGGCTGGTGTTCTTTGACATTGTTCAGTAGAGAGTCTGGAAGGAAGACAGGGTAAAGTCATCATTTGGCTGTACTGTTAAAAAAAAAAACTAATATTGGAAACTATTTGTGATTAGCTGCAAGTCAACCTTTCAAGTGGCAATCAAAAATGATTTCCTCCATTGATATAATGCTCTTCACTTTTCAAAATATATTTCCATTTATTGCCTGTGGTAGAGGAAGGGAAGCTTTATATTAAAGAACAAGAGAGAGAAATTCTTTTCTGAAAATGAAAAGAACCAAAAGCAAGATCCTTCCAGAGTTCCACAGTGGGATGAGAAAGCCCTCTGAAAGGAAGTGAGAATAGGTAGGGGTCAGGTCCATTTGTGAACTTGTACAAGTCACTTTCACCTCCCAGACTCCAGATTATTTTTCTGGAGATCAGAGGACTCAAATAAGATGACTGTGAGAAGCCCTCAAAGGGGAAGATGCCACCACCACCGCTGCTGCTGCTGCTGCTGCTGCTAGTGATGATGGTGATGGTGATGCTGATGATGACAATGACGATAAGCGCTGCTGCTGCTGCTGCTGCTAGTGATGATGGTGATGGTGATGCTGATGATGACAATGACGATAATGATGATGATGATGATGATGATGATGACGATGGTGCTGGTGGTGACGGTGATGATGGTGAGGAGGATGGTGACAATAATAATAATGGTGGTGGTGGCTAGGCACAGTGGCACACACCTGTAATCTCAGCTACTCAGGAGGCTGAGGCAAGATGATCATTTGATCCCAGGAGTTCCAGGTCAGCCTGAACAAGACCCTACCTCAAATAAATAATGGTGATGATAATAACGTTAGTGATACTGGTGATGGTCACGATGGCGGTAAGGTGACGACAGCAATGATGGTCGTGGTGAGGATCATGATCATAAAGATAAAGATGGAGATAGCTAACACGTATTAAGCACTTATATAGCAGTCATTGGGTTAATCACTTAATATGTATTGCTTACTTTAATCTTCACAACAATCCTGCCATGTTGTTTACATACATACACACACACACACACACACACACACACACACACTTCACATATAAGAAGACTGGCTCTCCAAGAAATTAATAAATTTTCCCAAAGAAATGCTGGAATCAACTTTATTTATGATTTAAACACTTTCGCCACACCAAAAAGTACCTCATTCTCCAAAATCTACCACTCCCATAGGCATGCACTGTTCTTATTTCTATTATCATGAAAGAATTCTGCTTGGACCATGGGTTGAGCTCAGGGGTTCCACCGCCTGCCTCACAAGCACAAGGTCCTGAGTTCAATCCCCGGTACAAAAAAAAAAACAAAAAAAAAAAAGAATTCTGCTTTTTATTATTGATTTGTATCAGTTTTTCTATATTACAAATACAAGTTCTTTGTCACACATATGTGTTGTAAATATCATCTCCCTGTCTGTGACTTGGTTTTCATTTAACCTTAATGGTGTCATTTGGTGCATAAAATTTTTAAATTAAACAAAAAGAAATATTGGAATCACGACTCAATTCCAGGCAGCTTCCCTTAGTTCCACAGTATTGTTTCAGACACGAATAGAGAACCAACAGCCCCGTGACAAATGAGGTAAAATTTGTTCCATGTCCCATTTTGAAAATGTTCAAAACCATACAGTCTCCCCAGTAAGAGAAAGCAACATTGCACATAAGATGCATAAAGGTGTAAATGAAGGCTCCAGCCAGCTGTGCAGACTTGCAGATTCTGGAAGAGCAGGCTGCTGCCTCCACACCATGGGCATCAACCCCAGAATAGGACTGAAATGAAATCGTGGCATCATTGCTTTGTTGGTACCAATAAAGAAAATGTCAAAGAGGAGCATTAGGAATTAATCCACCCAGGAGTAACGAACTAAAAAGATGCATTCTGAAAAGGCACACACAGCCAGTGACAGCATCAACCAACCTGTCAAAAGTACAAGCAGATAGAAAAATTCTAGCTTTCTGTTAATGGCAGAGTACTTTGTTTTACTTTCAAATGTTTAAAAAAAAAAAAAAAAAACCACCGTACCCAAGGTGGGTGGCAAGCTATGTTCTACACCCCACAGAAAACTGTCGTGAAAGCTGCTCACAGCTTCACTGAGCAGTTTGCAGTGAAAGCATAGGGAAAAAAAGCAAAAGCCATAAAACCCAGCTCCGAACAACTGCTGCTCAAAGGTTTGTACCTCTTTGTGATCTGGAAAGATGAAAGGAAAGACTTCCTTTATTTAAAATAAAAGACCAGTGACAGCAGTACCAGGTAGTTGACATAGGCCTGTGGTATAATTTAAGACATGGCTGTATTTGTTTCCATCATTATCTAATCATTTCTGTTCATCTTGTCTGCTCAAATAGATTAGAAGCTCCTTTAAGTCAGAAATAACACCATTCATTGCTCTAATGTGACCTAAGGCAATCAGCACAAAGGTTGTACAGCACGGCCATTGCACTTTCAAGGAAAATCCATTTTATGCCACCCTCATCGGAGGTCCCTGGAGTCACCTGGGGCCAAAGTGATAATTTTTCGTCCATTTTTCTCATATTGGCTAGAAGATGACTGCAAACTGAATCATAATTTCCCTTGGCAACAATTTCATGACCAACAGAGAGTTCTGCTGCCCCATCATGAATTCAGCATCACATCAATCAAAGATGTGGCAACAAATCACTCAAACAGAACCCACAAGCATTCAAATGAGTAACATTCTCTACATAGCAGACCTTTGCAGCCAAAAGTGCTTTTGTCAGCTCCCTAACTCCACAAGAGCAGAAGGAGAGGCCCTGGGAGGATGAGCATCTCAAGGCCATCCATTGAGTTTATGACAGATGGTGAACTTGACCTCCAGTCTGGGTGTTCTCTCCATGACATTCTACTGTCTTCTTTTGGCTGTCTCATAGTCTTGACATAAATTTATCATTGTCATTCATTTTATGGGAGATCCCAGTGTACCCATTTCAGAAGTCTAGTTCTGCCAGGGATTTAGCTCAATGGTTCCGGCGCCTGCCTCACAAGCACAAGGGCCTGAGTTCAATCCCAGGACCAAATAAAAAAGAAGTCTAGTCCTGCTGTATCATAAGGTAAAATTCCCCAAAGTGGTTTTCCTAATATTCATCCCACCAAATGCTAACAGATGCTGTGTTGGGACTCACCCATGTGCTGTAAGCCTTCACTCGTACTCTTCTGTGCTGAATTATGGGGGAGCCGGAACTCCACAAACTGCATTTCCCAGACCCCCTTGTCTATGGGCTTCCAGTTACATTCTGCAAATGTTAGAGAATAACAGGTGATTAAAAGATGAAAGGATGTTTTAATTTTCTATTGCTGCCATAGTAAGTTACCACAAACTTAGTGGCTTCAAGCAATGCTAATTTATTGTTTCATACAGTTCTCTAGGTCAGAATTCCAGTGAGCTCAGCTAAATTCTCATGTAGGGCTTCACAAGACCAAAATCAAGTTGTTGACCAGCCGGGGCTCACACCTGGAGACTCTAAGGGAAAACCTACTTCTAGGAATATGCAGCGGGCAGAATTCAGTTTCATAAAGCTGTAGGGCTGAGGTCTCTATGGCCTCCTTGCTGGGCATTAGCTAGCAGTCCTTCTCAACTTCTTAGCTGTCCACATTCCTTAGCTCATCCTCACCCCCACCACTACCCCTGTCACAGCCAAGCTTTGTGCACTGAATCCTCTCCTGCTCTAGACCTTTTCAACTTCATATTCTAGGAGCTGCTCTTCTACTTTTAAGAGCTCATGTAATAACACTGGGTCCATACAAGATCATCCAGGATAATCTCCTATATTAAGGTCAGCTGACTAGTGACTTTAATTATTATACAATCCCTCTTATCAAATGATGTAACATATTCAAGAGCATGACAGAAAGAGGCAGAGCTGAAAGGACCCAAAATTCTGTCTTCCACAGAGTAAGACCCTTCTAGGAGTAACAGCTTCAGGATGCAGGGATCATCCCAGCCCTCACAGCTGAATCCTCTTCCCCTGCCCAGCACCTCCCCAGGAGTCCCTACACTTGCTACACCCTATGAATTGCCCCAGGACTGCAGAAATGGTGTATTTCCAGAGTCTGATAGCACCATGGCTATCCTTTGGGTTGTAGCTACTCCTTTAAATTGTGAGTCTTCAAAGTTCATCACATTTCTTAACTAGATCTCTGACGCCAGTTCTTTCCGAATTACCTAGATTGTTTGCATTTTGCCAAGCCGACTTTGACTGGTAGAAGAACCATGCCTATGACCTTGGGAAACATTGGATCAACCAAAGTTTGGTACTTTTCCTTCCTAAAGGACTTCTCAAAGCATTGAATAGATGCACGGGCATTGTGAATAGCCAAGAAGCATGTCTAAGAGTCAGCAACACAGTTTTCCAGATGCTGTTTATCAAGAGAACCCTTGCTTCATCTTGTACTTCTGGAATCTGTAGAACTTCAGGAAACACTGTTATAGTTGAAATCCTCTCAACATCATTTTAGCTCTAATTAACACTAAGTATTTTATTAACAAAAATTGTGGCTATGTTTATGAAATTCAGAATAGCATTTGAGAGTTGATTCTGGTGAGTGGGAGGTTAAAGCTGATAGGTGAGGCTTCCCTTTGCCAGCCAACTTTCTCCTAACACATTGAAGGTCATTTAAAAAAAAACTGTCCTCGCAAAGAGAGCCATTAGTGAAGGGGCTTCATGAAGAAAAAGCTAGATTTCCTTCAGTTCTTGTTTCTAAGAGGCTCACTATGGCTATGTGAACAGCAGAATGCTTTAATCCCCTCTGCTTTCTGTTTAGAGCATACACTGTATTTCTCTTCCTCCTGCCCACTTTGCTGTTCCTCCCTTCCTCATCCAGGAAAAGCAGATGGATGTTATAAGGTCAACCCTAAAGGAAAAAGAGACCAAAGGAGTCCCAAATGGCCCCATGACAGAAGAAGGGTTAAGTAATCCACTCCCAACTTGATGAATTCTTACACAGTCATTAAAAATGATAATTAGGATGACTTTCAGCAACATGAAAAAAATGCTTATGATATAATTAATGCTAAGTGGAAAATGCAGAACACAAAATGATAGTTACACTATGATTACAACTCCTTAAATTATATGTTCATGGGGACAAAAGCTGGAAGGGAACACGGAAAAAATAAAAATAGTTTAATTTGTCGGGGATGACAGCGGTGTTATGGATGAATTTTTTCTTGCTTTATATTTGGCTAATGGTCCTATAATGCCAAGCAAATTTTTCAAACGCTAAAATAAAAAACAGGCTTGAGAATGTGTGGAAGTGGGAGAAGCCAGGCTGTCATCCTCATTTTCCTGAGGATGAGAAAAGCAGGATCTATATTGACAGATAGGAATAGTCAACCTAATTTTTATATTGAAATTCAACTTGGATTTTTTTGCTACTTACTTGAGAGAGAAAAGCTTTATGGTACTAATGATCTGTGGCTCTGTTGTAGTCCATTCAGGTTGTTGTTAACAAAACTCCAGAAACTAGGCAGCTTATAAACAACATACATTCCCATAGTTCTGGTGAGCAGATTTGGTGTATGGTAAGGGCCTGCTTTCTGGTTCATAGATGGGGAAAAAACTTCCAGGAAGCACTTAGTTTGTTAGGCATTTCTTCTTGCCTAATCCACAATGAGCCTGACATGTTCTTTTTCATTTAGTTCTCAGAATAACTCTATGACATGGTTTCACAGGTGGAGAAACTGAGCCTCATCTAGGTGAGTTCATGTGCCCAAGCAGAGGAGCTGGGACTTGAACCTGGGCAGAGCCTGGGCTTAGAACCACTCTGAACCCAGAGCCTGGGCTTAAAACCCCTCTGTTATGCTGTAGCACAAAAGAAAAAAAGCATAGTGAGAGAAGAAAGTCCATAAAAGATAGGAGCAGAGAAACTATATCCTGTAGAGACCCAGCCTTTGGATCATTGTGGGGTGCTATATAGGGGTATGCTGGTAGAGTATCAAACAGGCTCAGCAAGCGCTGGCTTTCTAGAACCACAATTATGCAACCTGGACTCACCCTAACGTCCAAATATCCAAGAATATAAAGGACTGGCTGAATAAATTATGGCTCATCGATACAATAAAACATGAGACAGCTTTCTAAAATGACGATACAGACAATGCAGATCTATATTTATTGACATGGAGAGATGTTCCTAATGCATCATTAGATCTAACAAGCAAGCACTAAACAGTATACACATCAGGAACATACATACCCACAGAAAAACTCTGGAAGTATATAACACATATACAAAAAATATTAACAGCGATTATCTCTGAGAAGTAAGATTCAGGTCATATAGTTTTTTCTGCCTACTTGTGCTTTTTTCTAAATTTTCTACCAAGAATGTAAGGAAAATGATTAAAGAAAGGTGAAAAATTGAACATGGATGGGCCATGATAAAAATCCTATGAAGTATTCACTACCTAGTACACTAATACTGATAGATCTATATAAACTTTATCTTTATTCCCACCCAGCCTGGTAAGGACACAAATATTTACTGTTTCAGATATTTGTAATTGAAGCAAACCAGGCATGGTGGCAACACATGTAATCCCAGCATTGGGAGGATAAGCCAGGAGAATCACGAGTTCAAGTTCATCTTGGGTAACTTAGTGATTTACAAAGACCCTGTTTCAAAATTTTTAATTTTAAAAGGTAGAGATGTAACTCAGTGCAATCCTCAATACCCTACCCCCCAAAAATTGAGTCACTTGTAGGTAAATAAAAATACCTTAAAACCACAATGCTAAGTGAAACAAATCAGACACATAAGCTTAAATATCACATGGCTTCTCTTATATGAGAAACCTAAAGTATAAATAAATTAAAGACCAAAATAAAAGATAGATAATAGGAAACAGGAAGATGTTTCTTTTGCAAATAGGAACAGGTTTAAGAGCTGGACAGAAGTGGAGGGAGAAAGGGATGACAAAAGAATTAACATGTACCAACATCTACATGTACCAACTACCCACCAAAAATGTTATCATTATGTGTCACAAACATGTGCTGATAAAAAAAAAAAAACAAGGGCCAGGGATTTAGCTCAGTGGTGCCACACCTGCCTCACAAATGCAAGGTCCTGAGTTTGATCCCTAGTACTAGAAAAAAAAAATGCTGGTAAGGTTGTAAAAATAAAACAAAAAGAAGGTAAGAAAGTGAAATTCAGAGAGATTATGTGTTCACCCCCAAAGCCACCCAAAATGAAGACATTAGGGAGTAATTTAAGGCAGATTTGCCTTACTCCACAGCTGATACTCTCTCTACCACGGAACTTGGGAATAATTTAGTTTCAGCACCCCGAGATTCCAGGTAAGCGGGAATGCAGACAGGATAAAAGGAGACCAGAGGATATTGAGGAGAAGAAAAAAAAAAAAGAGAACTGTTAAAATCAGAGTTCTACACTTCTACCCTGGAGTGTGGTCTCTCAACCTGAGCTCTACTGACATTTTGAACACAATTATTCTAGGGGGAGAAGGCAGCCATCTACGATGGCTAACAGTATCCCTGGCATTTACCCCCTAGACACTGTAGCATCCACTAATTGTGACAGCCAAAAATGTCTCCACACATTGTCAGAGCGGTGGGGCAAATCACCCTGGTTGACAGCCACTGCGCTCAAGAAATTATATTGCCAGAACGACACGGCAATAATACCTATTTACTGTACTTATGTTTGCTTAAGCCAGCTACATAGTTTACTCCACAATGCTATGTCTGTCCTCCTCAACTAATCCTTTAATTCTTATTATTCTGAACTGAAACAGCTCCTTCAGGCATTGTTAAAGATGAATGTCCTAATTGGTGAGCCCCAAGTGGCTGTGACTATTTCCCTGATCTCCAGGAAGGACAGAAAGTTAAGTTGCACTGCTCCAAGAATGGCCTCAGAATGGGCCTTTTGCCACCACTTCTGTAGGACTCATCCACACCTCTATATTTCCTGAATTAAAAGTAAGAAAAGCTGGCTTTTTCTTGTAAATACCAAGCTGTGCAGTCATTACAAGCTTGCTTGGAGATAATCAGGGCTGACACTCGCTGTATGTGCAGAGTTTATGGGAGACCACCCACAAAGTCTACTCAATGCAAAATGACACTACTAAGTAATCTAATCCCAAAATGTAGATTTCATTCCAACAAATTGAGCACAAGTGGTCTCCTGCTGGTTTAACTGTTGCCTGGAAAGGCAAACCCAACTGCATCCGTGGCAAGTATGTTAGCACAAAGCATCCAAACCATAAACAAAGAAT